GTTTCTGTTACTATGCCATTAATATTTCAAATGAAATAATCCCAGAAAAACAGTAAAGGCTTTGCATTGTTTAATATAAAGAAAGGTAGGATGGAAAGAAGACAGGCTTACCACATGGTAGTAGAAAATTGGTACCTTTTTCATGGATGTAAAAAAATTATCTTTCAATTGGATGTCAAGTGTAAAAAATCCAATGTAAATAGTTTAGTAGATCAATTAAAAGCCAATATTCATAATCATAGGAAGTGGTTTTTAATCAACTCAAATACTCTTCTCTTTGTGCTAAGGAATGCACATTCTCCAAAGGCAGAAGGGAAGCAACCTTGGGTATACTTTTTTGGAGCTCACAATTTTCTGTTTTCATTCGATGTGGGCCACCATCTATAGGATTTTTTTTTAAAGGCGTCTCTAAGAAAGGAGTATGAAAAGGTCCAATAGGCTTATCATCATCATCATCATCATCATCATCATCATAATTTTTTCTCTGTATTTGGGGAGCCAGATGGCCTCCTATCAAAGGATCATGGCACTAAAATGGCATGTGGAGAATGTATCTCTGGATTTTCTCTCACTTAATTCCTGTGTTTGGCTACTACCCATTAGCTTCACAGCCCATTCTCTGACTTGGCTTTAAGAAGAATACAGAATATTTTTATCTACTTATTTTTCTCTCCCGTTGGATAGCTTAATAAGATGCCAAACATTTCTTCACACAATTTAAAAGAAATGCTTCACTCATGTCTGTGTAGAGTCTCTAAATACAAATGAGAGAGGGGTTCCTTTTTGAGCTGCCTCCTTTCTCAGGCCCAGTAACTGCTGCCAGTGATTCCATTTGGCTTGATGATAGGAATCTTTACACAGGTCAGCCAGATTCCCCCATGAAAGCAAATACATTTGTATATTTCTCAGTGATTGGTTTAGTTTTCACATGACTAGGACCAAGAAATCAAGTTCATGGGTCTCTCAGCAACTCAAAACAGTGTTGCTAAGCCACTAGGTTGGTTCAGATGACCTTTTAAATCAAATGCAGTTTGTTTATTATGTTGCTTTTGGGATGACCTTTTTGTTTTGCAAATAACGTAGTGTTTCCTATTTTTGTTAGGTCTGTGAAATTAGAACGATGATAAAGGTTACTTGTCAATTAAAAGAATCCAACCCTGTGGATGTATAGTTTACTTTTACATTTTTTAAAATAATTGAAAACCAGAGTCCCTCTTTGTTTTAGAACTCTCTTTGGGTAATTGAAGGGGGCAGTTCCCTCTTTGTTTTATTCTGTTTTTGTGTGTAACAATAGCAGGACAGTGTTGTTTTCGGAGTGAGTCTTTCTCGTATACTATTGAGTTACTAGTGAGAATTCCTTAGGGAACATAATAATAACAGGGCATTTGAAAATCATACTTTAACACCCATTATTGGTAAAGAGCTACTTACATTTACAAAGAGAAAATAAATTTTTCTTAGAAAAAAACAGAAGTTTACTAGCTATATTTTTAATGTTAAGAACTTAGTGTTTATCTAAAATAACTTTCAGAAAGTGATGGGGGTATGGCTCAAATAACATGATTTGTGTTGGTTTTCACTTTTTACCTCTGAGTAATGTTAGTTTTGTCTGCACTCATGCATAGCAAGTGGCTATAATGAAGTTAAGTGAATTGTTTGAGACAATAGTAAGTCAGTGACTAAATTTTTTTAAAAAACAATGTAGGTCTGTATTTGATAGGGATAGGCAGTGTGACTTCAGACATATAATTATCTTTATTTTGCATGATGGTAGTATATACAAAGTTAGTTACTTAAAACATGATTTGGATCATGAGATGTACATCAATAAATATATACATATATTATAGGAATGACTTATCTGACAATTTGACTTTGAAAATTTCATTTCAGGTTTGTAACACTGTCCATAAAAGAGGCATAATTTTTAATAGAATTTTTTTTTCAATTACATGTAAAGATAGTTTTCAACATTCATTTTTTACAAGATTTTGAGTTCCAAATTTTTCTCCCTCCCATCTCCCCTCCACAAGACAGCAAGCAATTTGATATAGGTTGTACATGTGCAATCATGTTAAATATGTTTCTACATCAGTCATATTGTGAAAGAAGAAATAGAACAAAAAGAAAAAAATCAACCCAAAAAGTGAAAATAGTATGCTTCAGTCTGCATTCAGACTCTGTAGTTCTTTTCTGTCAATGTGGATAGCATTTTCCATCATGAGTCTTTTGGAATTGTCTTGGATCATTGTAGAGTTAAGAAGAGCTAAGTCTATCATAGTTGATCATCCAACAGTGTTGCTGTTGCTATGTACAATGTTCTCCTGGTTCTGCTCACTTCACTGAGCATCTTTCTAGGTTTTTCTGTAAGTCTTTCCTGGCTTTTCTGAAATCTGCCTGCTCATCATTTCTTACAGTTCGTTAGGATTCCATCACTATCATATACCATAGCTTGTCCAGCCATTCCCCAATTGATGGGCATTCACTCAATTTCCATTTCTTCGCCACCAAAGGGGCAAAGGGTATAATCTTATACAAATTTGAGACCACAGTAGAAAAGGTGCCATTCCCTATTTATAAAGATTCAACCATCCAACAAGCATTTATTAAATACCTTTGTGTAAAGCCATTGTGTTAGGTGTAATTCAGGAGGATAGTCACTTTTTTGTTCTTTCAGTAGTGATTTTGGTTGTGGCTATACAATAGCAACTTTTGATATGTTAAGCTAACTGTCTAATGTTGATGTTAAACTAATTGCTTTAGCCTCATTTGCACCATACTTTAACCAGTGTGTAACCAACTGAGAGTAATAATTCGATTATGTTTTATAAACTTTATTTTGAAATTGATTATAACATTTCATAACATTTCCCCATAGAAGTTTAGATATAACTCAGTTGTCTGACCAAAAAAAGCCTAGAAACTTTCTCAGCCAGCAAATACTTGATCTTTTTATCACATGGAAAGAGATGGCAGCTGAGAGTAGCAGTGGTTTAGAACATAAACTTTTTTGCATAATGTTATGGTGGAGGATGATGGTTAAAGATGGGCCTCAATTTCCTCATATGTAAAATTATAGTATTGTACTAGATTGCCTCTAGGGTTCTTTCCAGCTCTAATTCTATGATCCTAAGACTATGCACATTTTCACATATTCAAACATTGAGAAGCAGTAGAGAGGAAAACAGATTCGAAGTTGAAAAGTCAACTAAGCAAAGCCTTAGGAGAATGACTGCATTAAAGGGACAGAATAAGAAAGAGGAACAAGTGATAAGAGTTAGTTAGGAAAATTATGAATAAATGAATGTGTGAATGTAAAAACATTTATGAAGCTTCTTTGCCAAGCACTGGGGATATAAGAGCAAAAGGAAGACGGTGCCTGCCTTCAAGAAGCTTATATTCTAATAGGGAAGGCCACATATGCATGGCATTCCATGAATCTTAGTGCAGTTTTAAGCTATTAAAACAACCTTCAAGATTATCTTAAGGTATTAAAGCTTAAAATTGCACTAAGACTCATGTGACACCCTGTTTATGGGAAGGGTGTTTGGGATAGTGAGAAGAGCCATAGGGGAACTGATTGACATTCTTTTTCTAGGGAATGGCAATATTGATTTGACAGCTGTTTAAGAGCTGGACAGTTGAGGTGGGGTGGGAGGAGAGAGGTTATGTTAATGGTAGCAGGGGTAGGAGTGGATGGCAAGAAGATAGCTTTGGTAAAATGTTGAAATATGGCTGATGCTGGCCAGATACAGTGGACCCTGAATTTGCACTCATTAATGCACTGATCTGAATGGCTCAGTCCTCAGGATAGGAGATTCAAAGCTGAGGAGATTCATTTGTCAAGGACATGGTCTTTGGAGATCCTAGTGTGTTTCACTAGCCAAGGAAGGAGAGAATCCTAAGGAGAAAAGGATTGATCAAAAGAAAGATCTAGGGGGAATAAGGTCTGAGAAAAACACACTGGACCTGGCAATTAGAAGGTCTTTAGTGATTTTGGAGTGGTTTCACTGAAGTCATTGGGGCAGATGTTAGAATACAAGGGATTGAGGATTGAGTAGGTAGTGAGGAAGTACAGGCAATGAGTAGAAACTTTGCCTCGAGAAGTTTAACAGTTAATAGGAAAAGAGATGAGTTGGGACAATCATTTGAGGGTATAGTGATGTCAAGAGATTTTAAAAAATTATGATAGAGAAAACTTTTTTCAGGTATAGAAGGAATTTATGAAGAGAGATTGAAGATGCAACAGTAGAAATAGAAAACATTCATTCTTGTTTGGCTTTTAAAACCCTTTACAACTTGGCCCCAACCTACTTTTTTTGTCTTATTACACATTACTCCCTTTCACATCTACTGTTATCCAGTCAAAGTGGCCTCTTACTTCCCTCATACATGGCATTCCATTTCCTGCCTCCATGACTTTGCCCTGGATTATTCCTCATGTCTCCTGTGCACTGTCTCTTCTTTGCTTCTTAGAGTCCCTTGTTTCCTTCAAGATTCAGCTGAAAGGCTGCCTTCTATATGAAGCTTTTCCTAATCTCTCTTCACTGGCAGCAAGTGCCTTCCCTCCAAATTCCCCCCTACACTATTTTGTATATACTTTCATATACAATGGAAAGCTTCTTGAGGATAGAAACTGTTTCACTTTTATCTCCCCAGTGCCTAGCACAGTGCTTGGTACATGATAGATGCTTAATAAATGCTTGTTAACTGACTGAAGAAGAAGGGAGAGATGGAATCTAGGGGTATAAGTGGAGGAATTAACCTTGACCAGACTTAGAACTGATTCTCCCTCAAAAACAGGGGAAAGTAAGCAGAAGATGGATGAAAACAACAGCACTTTTGAGGTGAGGAATAAATTAATTTCTGAGCAACAAGGAGGACCTAGATGAACTTGTGATTATAATGTAGTTTTTTTTTAATCATAGTACACATTGTAGATTCCTAATACCACTTGTTGGGATGTTAAGCTAATAGCCTTTCCCCTCTTCTTCCTGCAGCAATGGTGCACTGGATCCTTGGTACGCAGGTGGAGTGAATGAGAACATCACAGATACTCTTGTCTCCATAGTCATCCCAGATGGGGCCCATCACTTAGATCTACGTGCCAGGAATGCTGATGACCCTGAGTCAGTGCTGTTAGCCCGAACCATGGAAGTTGACTACATGAAGAAATGGATCACACAGTTTCAGGGTCATCGCTGAAAAGTGATGTGGATGCAACATAATGTCATGATTTTTTTTCCAAACATCACCCCCTCTACTTTTTCTGTGTATTCTTTTTCCATTACTAGATGGGGGAGAAGAGAGGGAAAGTACATGTAATAAAATTCCCTTGGGGATTTTTATTTTGCAGGTGTTGGACTTCCATATTCCATGTCCATAAAGAGGTCCTTTTCAGTTTTTACAAATTGCCAAAAATCTAACCTGGTGTGTCCTCTCTGAATGTCAGAGTTCCCGATTGTCTTAGGAAAAAGGGATGACTCTCCTGAGGGATAGCTTGACTAATCTTGGGCTTTGGGTTCCTCACTGGTTGAGTTTTTCAGATCACCTTGGGGCTACTTGTCACTTCTCACCAAAGAATTTTGCAAAAACAAACCAGCCAAGAAACCAGAAATGGTATTAAGGGTATGCGGGTAATGGTAAAAAATGATACCTGCTGTTGTGAAAACCTTCTCAACAGGCCTATATCAGGCCACATCTAAAACATGGAAACCATTTCTCTTGTTCTGAAATTGTTAACCAAGGATATAAGTTGGGTTGTAAATAAGGAATAGGGCTGGACCTTATACCTGTTTGTTTATATTAAAGGACATACCAGCTGTCTTTTAATACAGCACATATTTAGTTTGGTTGGTTGTTTAATTTTTTTTTCTTTTATGTGTTTCTTCCTTCTTGGCATCTTCTCTTAATTCTGGGATATTTGCCACAGTGGTTCTGCCAGAGAGAAATTTGGCTATTTTCTGTTCCATTTCTCTTTGTTTCTTAGCTCAGTTTTGGGACACTTTTGATAGGCTCTGCTGGTTTAAAAAAAAAAAAAGATTCAACTTTGCCCATTTCATTTTTTGAGGGGTTTGCTTATATATAATTTGGCACATATAGAAGTTTCAATATAGACTTTAAAATTATAGATTAACTATTCAAAATTGGTTACATTTACCTTTCCTTTTTTGTTGTTGGTTGGAGTGATGTCATGAAAGCCTGGGGTGTTGCAGCACACAGGGGCAGGTGCACACCAAGTTTCCTGTTTGGTATCCAAAAAGGCCAACTGACCAATTCAGAGAGACAGCATTTTTGACATTAATAAATGGCCGAGCTGTTCCTATTTTCAAGCTTTTGGCTTCTTTCATGCGGCACTTACACTGAAACCTTTCTTTCCGAGAGCTTTTTTAGGATAACAAATAGGGCTGGATCAAAACCTTTCAAGGGCAGAGAGGGACTCTCTTAACAGCTTCTACTTTGTTGAAAGCCTTTTTCTCTTACTTCTGCTGGTCTCTTTCTTCAGAGTCTTCCCATTGCTCTGCCTTGGGAACAATGTCTGTTCTTTAAAAAATTTACCTCAAGTCTAAAATTTTAAAAAATGCCAATTCATGGTTCTGTCTCAGATATGAGGACGATTATGTGTGTGTGAGCTAAGAAACATAAGAAGATAATTGTCCTTTTTTAGAAACATTCAGTTCCATGTTATGTTGAATTATTTAGTCACTGGTTTCATTTTAAATTCAGCACAATTCCATGACGTGGGGATCTCATGACCAAAGTGTAACAAGTGCTGTTTTTTGTCACCCATGAATAGTTATGTAATTCAGAGTTTATAAATTAAAGTTTTTTTTGTTATGTGTGTGTGAATGACCCAAGAGAATTTTCATTAAAATGTCCATTTTATACTATGTATTATATCTATGTAGCATATATGTATATGTATTTGTATATATGCATATATATACACATATAAATGGTATTGTTAGTGAAAAATTTTACCTATCCTATTAACTTCCTGAGAAAATTAGGCCTAAAAAAGTTTTCATTAAAAGTCAGTCTCTCTCTGTTTTTCTCTTTCTCTCTGTCTTTCTCTCTTTCTTTTTCTAACCCATACACTCACATACACACACAGCCCCACAATTTTTAATGAAAATTAGGCCCAAGAAAGCTTTTGTTAAAAATCCAATACATGCATACATACACACTGTACATATGTATGTGTGCATACATACATACTTATGTATGTATCAAGCATAGCTTAAAACTATGTTTAGAATATTGTTATTTCAGCTGATATTATTTAGATTTTGTGGCCTTTGGTGGTGGTGGGGGAGCCTTTAAATAATATTTCCCACAACCTGGTATTTTTGAGAGGCTGCTAGGCATCATGGATAGTATTTGGCTTAGAGACAGGAAGAACTTGGGTGTGGATCCTGACTCAGATGATACTTAATAACTCTCACCCTGACCAAGTCTCTCAGTTTCCTCACCTAGATAAAATGGGGCTATTAATATTGTAGCATTTATTTCACAGAATTTTTGTGAGAAGCATGTGAAATATGTATATAAAGAACTTTGAAAATCTTAAAAATACTCTAATACCCAGTAAATATTATTTAATCCCCAATAATTTCATAGATTGTTAGATCTGGAAGGGACCTCACGATATAGAATGTTAGAATACAGAATACAGAACGTTAGAGCAAGGAGGAACCTTTGATCCATAAATATGCAGAATATTAGAAAATAGAATATAGACTATAACAGTAGAATGGGAACTTAGTGATCATTTCATTGGACTACTGCATTTTATGTATGGGAAAACAGGCTGAATGAGGTGAAGAAGGACTTGCCTAAATTACTAGTTAGTCTGTATTTTCCTGTATATTTTGTAACAGATGAAAACATTGACTGAAATTTGGTTTCAATATTCTACATTTAATGTTATTTTTACATTTAACAATAGCTAAGATTTTCAGTTGTTTTGTTTTGCTGTCGTTACAAAGATTTGTACTGATTTAATATAATAACTACTTCCAGTTGACATATGTGATGCTGGGACTTTCACTGGGGAGAAGTCTTTGGAAGAAAAACTATATACATCTCCAGAAGATGGGAAAAGTAGCCTTTAAATCAGATTTGGCTTATCTGTTATCTTTTAAAGATTAAGAACATCAGGCAGGCCTTTTTTTGGGGGGGCTTGGAAATAAAATTCAGTGAGAACTCTGCATGTAGTACTGTAATAATTCAATGGGTCTGTGATCTTACTGACATGGATACCTTGTTGAGCAGTACAGATTGTGACCCAAGCATACTATTCCATTGTGTCAAATTCTTGTCTGTGTCCTTCCACAAATCTTGCATACAGAGGGCACTTAACATTCGTCGAATGAATGAATGAATGAATATCATTCGCTTCAAATTAGATGCTATTTTATATAAAGTGATAGTTTAATTAGATTTTAGTATAAATTTCAGATTTTGTTCAATTGTACTGTTCCATCTGACAAGTGCTTAATATGTCTCTTGCACTGTAGTTGGTGTTTACAGGGGATCAAAAAATAAAAGTATAGCATGGTCTCTGCTATAAACAGGCTTATGTTCTTTTAGATAAATGAATGCATGAAAAGAGGAAGACATGAAAAAATTAGAAAACAGTATGATTATAAATTATTAATAAAAAGGCAATTGTTTTCTACTGACAACAACAAATTGGATGGTATAAAATTAATTTGAGCCAAGGCCAATTTTCCTGATCTTTTGCATTCCAAACAGAAGCAGAAATTTTTAGCTAAAATCTACTTTCTAGACAATTCTATTGGAAGAACATTCTGCTAACAGGCCAAATTTTCTTAGTAAAGGTTTTAGATGCTAAATTATTATAAAAATACCTTCACCTTCACCAAATTTTTGTTAAGTGCTAGGTAGTTGTTAAAAGAGATATAAAGATCAAAGGATGACAATCTATTTCTATAGTCTATCACTGGAAGAGACTTTAGAGATCAGTTGAGTCCTTCCCTGGATGAACCCTTGGTGGAGAAAACAGCGTAATTCAGCCTTCTTTCCACTTTCCATTATCATCTGGCAAAATGAAATACTCCATACTGTAATAATAACTCTTATTTTTGACATCTATTATTGAGTCATACCTCTGTCTTCTCTTTCCTAGGCCAAAACAAACCTCCGGTTTCTTATTGTATGGGTGTTAAGTGTTATTTAGTGTGATTCTTTCTATACCTTCTCTCCCCTGCTGTTTTCTACTTTTATCTTGTGTGTTCCATCCAGTCCTATTCTTGACAAGAGTTCTCAGTCCATTGCTGTTCAGCCTTGGAGTAGGGATAGTTGGGGGAGGGAACAAGAGAGAACTGCTTTCCCTTTACTGTTAATTTGCAAAATCTTTTAACTTGGTTTCCTGAATTTAGCAAGTAGGAATAGGGAAAACTGAAATGAGGAACAGAAAATCCCTTCCGTTTGTCTTGGTGTTTGATAATATATGCAACCTCTCTGGGTGGTTTAAGCGGTTTAGGTACTTTCTATAAAAGGGATCTTTTAATGACAAAACTAATGTGATTATCCGAGTGACTGTGAGAGGGGTATTGAAGGCTTAAAGAAAATCTGTTAGAATAGCTGAATGTATCTGCTTAATCCTTTCTCTAATGTGGGTGAACAATGCTCTGGGAAGCTATTGGTCTTTCTTTCTTGCAGTAAATGCTTGGTCTCCAGAGGTAGGGACTGTTTGCAGCACTTTATACCCTTAGCTTCACCTTCTAAAAAGCACAAAAGCACAGGGAAAACCCAAAGGGACTTGAGAGCTTACAGAAAGCCAGCTTCTCCTGTGTTAGCCAAAGGCAAAACTTACTCTGGAGGAAATGCTTTCTCTGCCTCATCTTCAGCTACTAAGAGATGAAACATCTCAGAAGTAACTGCCACAGATATGGCAAGACTCTTATCTAAAAAAAGCACTAGGCCTAGCTCCTGCTAGTGTTAGGTGCTGGATGGATAGACACATAATTTTTTGAAATTCAAAGGCTTAATTGCTAAGGAATGGTCATTTATTTATCTTTTGTGAAGCTTTTTTTTTTGTTCATCCTGTCCTTCTACTTTGTGACCTATGTATGGCATTCTATATTTCTCTTTCACCAAAAATGAATAAATTTTAATTCTTAATCTCACCAACTGCAAAAATTGCTGGAATGGCTGTTAGAATTTTACAATGTTAACCAAGTCCTTTACCCCTAGGTTTTAAACATATTCCTTGAATTCTTAGTGGGCTGTTACTAAGAATGTACATTTTTATAACCATTATAGAATGCTATGTTTGTAAGGAATCATGAAGGACGTTAATTAGTACTAATTCAAACTGAATTTCTTTTGATCTCTACCCTCCCTCTCAAATGGTCATCTGGCTTCTACTGAAGCACCTCCAGTGATAGGAACTCACTGTCTCCTGAGGCTGCATATTAGATAATTCTTATTGTTTCTTCCTGATTTTGAGAAGAAATGCACTTTTGGCTCTCTCTAGAGTCACAAAGAATAATAAGTTTTCTTCCTCTTCGATGTGACAGAACTTCAAATAACTGAGGTTAGCTGTCGTGTCTTCCTCCCAAGTCTTCTCTATACATCTATAAAAGGAAAGACTTGGATTTCGTTGTCTGAGTTCATAGTCTGTAGGGTCACACCCTTTCATCTTTCAACAATAATAATAATAACAATAGTTGGTTTTTGTAATGTTTTATGGCTTACAGAGTTCTTTCCCCCAGTAGCACCACAAGACTCCATAAAGCATGGTTGGTTTTTTTTTCTTTGTTCAGCATACCTTCCTGGTCATGCTCTAATTTCTTAATATACTTCTTAAAATCTAAAGTTTGGAGCTGACTGCACAGTTCTGGATTAGGTCTGACCAGGGAAGAGTAAAATAGGGCTAGCACCTTTCTCATCTGGATGCTGCATTCCTGAGATATAAGCTGAGGTTGGATTAGCTTTTTTGGTAGTCATATCACCCTGTTTTCAGCCCACTAAATCTGTCAGGTCTTTTTTTGTATGAACTGCTATCTAGCCTGACTGAATCTTCTTCCTATACTTGTGTTATTGACTCATTTAACCTAAGGTGGGGTTTACCTTTTATCCTTACTAAATTTCAACTGAGCCTGTAGAGGAGATAGCTTCAGATTCAAAGATAACACTACTTCTGTTTATTCATTCACTTCCTCTGCCAGATTTATTCCCATCTGTCAGGTTATTATGTGGCCACCACTTTGGATATATTTAATGTGATAAAGTATATTTGAGGTTTGAACAGTTTGTTTCATGACATTATATGAGTTTGGTGTAGGTAATAAGACTTACTTGATCTGGGCTTGTGATTTTATGTCAGTAGGAAATGATGTGCAAATTCCCTTCTCCAATGAAAAGCAATTTGTCTGTAACTTATAGTCTCAGAGAGTTGTCTGGGGGGCACTGAGAGGTTAAGTGATTTGCCCATAGTCACATGGCCATTATGTATTAGAAGCAGATCTGGAACTTAGGTCTTCCTGATTCCAAGGCCAGCCTTTTAACCATTTTGCTTGATTTGCCCCTTGATAAGATATGCACCTAAATAAATAGGCTATTACTTGCCAGACTGTGAGTACCATGAGGGTACTGATGGTTTTATCTTCCCCAGGCTCTGCTATTACACTCTGCATATAGTAGATAGCTAATAATTCCTTGGGGCAGCTAGGTGGCAGGGCAGCTGGATGGTGAAGTAGAGTGTTGGTCCTGAGGCAGGAAGACTCATCTTCATGGGTTCAAATCTGTTCTCAGACACTAGCTAGTTGTTTGATCCTGGGCTTAACCCTGATCCACTTAACCGTATTTGCCTCAGTTTCCTCATCTGTAAAATAAGTAGGAGAAAGAAAGGGCAAACCATTCCAGTATCTTTGCCAAGAAAATGCCAAATGGGATCACAAAGAGTCAGACATGTCTGAAAATGACTCAACAATAACAAATAATTGCTTAGTGAATGATTTAATAATATAAATATATTATATATGTGTATGCATACCCATACATGCATATGTAGATATACATATGTATGTATATGTATATATAGTGATTTATTGAACCTCACAGAATGAAAAGATATGAAGAGACTGTATAGTTTGCATTGGCAGAGAGAATATCCATATTGATGAAATTATGGGTCCACCTAAATATGATTATTGTTATACAAGGAAATCATATATCTACACAAAGGAAAATTTCATGCTCAGTGTCTCCCCACATGCTTTGCCAAAGTCATCAAAAAACGTTGCCCTATGTACCAATCAACCCCAAAGAAGAGCCCATGGCTTTCTCTCTACTGGAGGAGGAAAAATGAAGTCAGCACTCTGTATGTAAAATAGTCTAATAAATGTTGGTACAGCAGGAGGTGGGAGCAATAAAGTGAGCGGCCTGAGTTATCGTGGTAACCTGCTGAATTCCTAGGTCACAAAGTAATTTACAGACTGGTCCTAATGCCATTCAGTAATTATTCAGACAGACCAGACTCCGGGGTACAGAGTGTCCTGCTGATTATGTTATTAATACCATCAACAAACAGCAGGATGTTGGTGTGAAGCAAAGAAATACAAAACAGGCAACCAAGCTGATGAACAAAACCAAAAGCAATATTAACTGGCTGTTTGTGTGGGTAACAAAAAAAAAAAACCCAACAAAAACCCCCAGCTTATGCAAGTCAGCCCTTATCACTGGTTGTCCCTTATGGTACCAGTGCAGACTGCTTAGGAGGATGGCTTTGGGGGATGGGCTGGTGGAGAGGAAACAGAGCCATCCATGTCAACTAATTTATATCAAAGACCTTCTGCAATAGGCCCCATGGAGACAGATGGAAAATGGTTTCTAGGCCCCCCTCAGAATAATTTAAATTAACATCCAAGGAACATTGTCAGACCTTCTTTGACATAGTGTGGGAATAAGTGGCCCTAGCATTTTAACTGGATCAGAGAAATTAGTGGTGTCCACTAACGGATTTAGTCAGCTGAGATCACAATCTTTGTTAACCCAGATGTATCTTTGAGGAGTTTGCCAATGGGGAAATTATATTCACTCCTCATCTTCCTGCTCAAACAAATATACAAAGACGACCTAGGAAATTTTGAAGTTGTCTTGGAAAATAGTAACTGCCTGAGTTTTTCCTAGCAGTAAAAGCAGTATAAAAATTAAATCAATTATATTTTAACCAACAAAA